TTGATGATATTTTTTTATTATTGATTAGAAGGTGTTCCTAAATGTTTTAAGTTAGGATGGCAAGCGCTCCTAATTACAAGAAGAAAAAAACTGCTCTTAAATTGGGTGTGTGACGGGTATGGCTGTGGAATGGGGTTTGGCTGAGGAAAAATTTTCAGTAAAAACTTTTTTTTTGCTTTAATCCCTGCTTAAAGCAATTACATACAACACTGTTAACGCATCAATCATTCACTAACCAAACGCCCACATCTGTGAAGTAATGTGAAATCAGATAGGCCTACTGTTTTGCCTCCTGACTATTGGGAAACACTATAAAAACACATGCTCGCGCACACACACACACACACACACGCACACACACACATACTCAAAGTCACGATTTTAAAGGCTCTACATACATAGCACCTTTCTACAATCCACATCATACTGTTGCACAGTTGATTTTGTTAGAATTTAGCATCAGCATGTTGCAAAGATAACATCACACATTTTTATAAGTATTTTAAAAGTTCAAATTTTAATGATATTAAACTTTTTAACATAATTTTTTTTGTATTGAATTAATTTATAATCTAATTTGAAAAAGTCAGTTTTAATTATATTGCCTTGTAATAATATTTTTTGATAAATTAATTAGAATAAAACAAAAAAATCCCTTATTTTTAGTTATATTAAACATTTTACCAATATCTTTGGTATTGACTGAATCGTAATCTAATTTTAAAAAGTCAGTTTTTAATTATATTGAACTTTCTGAATGTTTTTCGTATTGAATGAATTATAATCTAATATTAAACTATAATTTGTTAATTATATTTAACTCTTTATCTTTGGTATTGAATGAATTGTAAACTTAATTTTAAAAATCCTCTTTTTTGGCATTAAATTAAGTATTTTTTTTTAATTATACATTTTTTGTTCTTATTAATATTGAATAAATATAAGTTATCTATAATTACATTTCTCTATTTATATCTAAATTTCTCTTGCTTTGTCTGCCATCTTAGGAGGATTTTTTCCCCCCACCACAGTGTACAGTGGGGTTACCTTTTCTGTAAAAGATACATGCTGCTGTAGAATTTGGCCAGAAGAAGACATCTTAGAAGTGCCTGGTAGAGCAATCTTTGTGTCCTTCAAATGATGCCTTTAAATGCTGCCTATGTAGGCATCTCATGGGTTTTGGAGCAGAGCCAAGGAGTTAGTGAAGGATAACAAGCCTATCCGACAGAACAAGCCCCAGTGATGTCATTTTAGTAGACACCAGACACACAACTGGGTGAGGATAAACTCACGCCCACCTCACTAGGGGTGTTGTACATCCAACGAGAAGGAAAGAGTCATGTCATCTTCAGCAGCACAGCTCAATTGGAGTTAAAACAGAAGGTGGAGAAAGAGGAGCGAGCTTTCTGATGCAAAACTACTCCCACAGCTCGCTAGTGTTGAGCTGCTGGAGCTCGAGAGCAAGAAAACAGAGACTTTTCAAAACTTTCTTTCTTTTTGGACACTTACAGAGCTGTGCACTAAGGCAGGTAGGAACATCATCTTGTGGTTCTTTTGGTGCTTTGAAAAACATCTAAAGCACTTTAGCATGTGTTCACATCCTGCTATTTTTATGTGTGATGATTTTATGGGTGATAAACACAAGCTGCTCATGATGTGATATCACCCGTGTCTGCGAACAGGTGATAAAAAGCGCGCCGAAATAGAAAGCGATTGCTTTTTCAAGAAAGAGGCGTGTCTGATTCCACATCAAGATGCCAGATTCTAATGACAGCGACAGCTCCTCTGATGTCAGTATATTAAGTCGTGAGGTGTTTTTAAGGTGCAAATAAAACATGAGATCTGTTCGGCTAATCTGAGATGATCATTCTCATGTCATGAAAGTTTTAACCTGCTGAGAGGTTTATACGAGGTGCCCCTCTCCTCCGTGGTGGGCGTTATTTTGGAGTACTAGAACTCTGGGAGATGTTTGAAACAGCTGAGGGTTTGTTAGGGGGAACTCTGGAGGGGAAGAATGGGGGAGAAAAGCTAATTTTTTCCACGTTATGTTATAAAAGGAAAATTCTGGCCCTAGGCCTGGTCTCACAGAGGAGAAACATCTGAATTCACTCCTGCAAAGTTTGGTTTATGCAGATTTAGGGATGTCAAAAAGCAAGTAATGTTCCCAATCTTTATACAGTATCCAAACTGACTAATAGGTAGCTGCTCATGTTAATGCGGCGGTGTAAATTATTTAGCAATATCTATATAGTTCGGGGACTGTATGATTTTAGTGTTTTTTGCTGACGAGCTGCATTTATTTTACAAAAATACAGTAAAAACAGTAATATTGTGAAATAAAATTACAATTTAAAATAGCTGTTTTCTATGTGAATGTCTTTTAAAATGTAATTTATTCCTGTGATGCAAAGCTGAATTTTCCGCAGCCATTACTCCAGTCATTAGACTCCTTCTAATATGCTGAATATTATGCTGAACTTGGTAGTGTTTCTTCTGGTCAATGCACCAATTTACTTTCGATGTGCAACAACGAACATCAAGACTGGCAGCTTTTGACAGACATCAGCTTGTGTACTCTTGTGTTTAACCCCCTAGTCAAACCAGTAGGTCACATAGCTGCATGTGACACAGGGTCAAAGGTGATCATTGAATTTGTTGCAAGCAGACATCTACAACCTAAAGGTCAACAGGTCTCTTGAGGTAACCCGGGATGTCTATTTTTAAGGATCTTGAGGGAGCTGTTAGCCTCAAATCGCCCAGAGTCTGTTCGCAGGCCATGTGATGCATGCATACTGGTCGCTGATTGAAAAGCACTGGAAGTCATAGTTTAGCAGGTTAGTAGCATCGTACTTTGGAAATAATTTTTTGAGGCACTTAGGAGCAAGTAAACTAGATATTCACTGTGCATTTCACTTAGTTTTCTGTCATGTTTGTGAAATAATCTGGATTCAATTATTTTTCAAAGAACCTCTTTCTCAACACCTTGTTTTCAAGGCTTGAAATGTGAAATGTAACTAAAATATTAACCCGGTTACCTTTCTGAATAATCTCATTCTATATTAAAATGTATTTATTTAATTGAGATAGCGCAATACAATTTATTAACACTTAAGCACATTATCATGCTAGAATGTTTACAATTGTACAAAAATAAACTTTTACAAACACTTTTAGCAAACTGGAAAAAAAGCATTTCATAGAATGACCCATCTATATGTACTACTAGAAATTCTACAAATTTACAAAATGTATACGGAGTTCCACTAGCAAGTCATGGGCTAATACGTCTGCAGCATTATATGATAACAAACATTTTCTTGCTGTATTTATTGTGGTACCATCTATTTCAGATAATATAACTCTAATTGGCACTTAAAAATAAAACAAAAATATCTAAACAAGCTGATTAAAGTCTTCAGGATTACTAGAAAGTCACAGGCAGGAGAGTTTGAAGCTAAACTCTGCAGGAAAGTGGACCTTGAGGGCCAGAGTTGAGAACCCCTGCTTTATGCCAATAGTCACAAGTCCAATTGTTCATGACTAGGGAGTCACAGTCTCTCGTCTTCAGCTGTTAGTGCTATTGAGTGTCAAAAAAAAAAAAACAGCACAGCAGAGTCCAGAGTAATGTGCCCACTTTTCCCAGCTGTATTATCAGATTTGCGGCTCTACAGATCCTGCATTAAGACACCATGGGAAACTCTGCGTGTGTGTTTCAGGCTGGCTTTATCTGAATGAATGACATTTTGTCACAATCTGTGGTTTTGAGGCTGTCTCATTCTCTCAAGCACAGTGAACAGTACACAGCTCTTTTTTTTTTCTGGGATTGCAATGCATTGTTGATATCAAAAGGCCAATGCAGAGTGAACTGTCAAACAGTGGCTTAGTGGTTTTGGAAAGCCAGAAAACAGTTACAGTCTGTTATTAAAATGCATGACCACAGGGAAACAAGACACTGATTGTTAAGAGCCAAAGATACATTGACACAGCAACCCTAAAATAGGCGTGTTATGTTTTTGTGTAAGTGTCCAAACATGTGTATATTAATGTGTGAGTATAGGAAATGATGCTACAATTGCAAGGAGACAGGAAATGCCTCCAATCCTGTATGTGGTGATTTTTCCACTGGTGAGTCACTTGCTTGGACTGGGACTCTCATGAGAGGCACACACTGACTCACTGCATGAGGTGGAGCTGCCGTTCGTTGCATGTGTGAGTACACGTGCATGTTTTAGGAAGAGAATCCGCCTGACTTTCAAAAAGTTGCTCGTTTGACAAACTGAGTGCTCACTCCATAAGTTTTTATGTGCTTAAAAACAATCACATGTATCTCAGTAGTCGACTATGAGCAAGGGGTTAACATCCCTTTTCTCCAATAATGAATAATTTTTGTTGCCATTAAAGAGATTTAAAAAATGTTTTTATCATTTACTCATCTTCATGTCATTCTAAACCTCTATGAGTTTCTTCTGTGTGACACAAAAACTGATATTTTGTGTTTTTTTTGTTCATACAATGAAAGTAAATAGGGTCCAAAACATAATTTTGGGTGAAGTATCCCTTTAACTGAAACTGGGCAAGGGATTTTAGTTCTCTTCATGCTTTGTATAGGACTTAATAAGGACTGTATGAGAGAGTAAATGTTGAAATTAAGTGTTACTGTAAGCTTTTTTGAATAAGAGTTTTAAACTATAATAGTGTTTAATGTCCAGTTATGTTGGGATTTAGAATAGATTTTGTAGCTTTTGCTTGGATGGATACATGAATTATGTGCTCAATGAGTATTCACTATTCAGCATGTTAATGCATGCTGTTGCTAGCTAGTAGTTTGGTAGTTGGTAGGACCTAATAATATAATTGAGTTATGTGACACATAAATTACAAAATTAAGTTTATAACTTGGTATTCTTAGTCACAATGTGAAGTTGCTTATTGCTTTTATGTGTATATATGAAATATCTAAATTTATTAATACATTCCATTTTTCTTTTTGACTTCTACAGACGTTATTCACACACAAGGTCCATTGGATGGTAGTCTCTACGCTAAGGTTCGGAAGAAAGAGTCTCTTGAGGGAGGGGTCACAACCAATGGTGTCCCAGCCACTGTCGATCACACTTTACCTGCTGTAGACCCCACTCTACCACCAGTTGACCACGCCTTGTCTGTAAGCAGTGACTCTGGCAATTCCACTGCTTCCATCAAAACCGACCGCACGGATGAAGCCAGCCATCAGCTGGCCTTGGTGAGTCAGCCGTCCTCCCAGCCCCTTAGCCCAGAGGAAAAACAGGAGCTGGACCAGTTGCTCAGTGGTTTGGAAGCACCAATGCATCGCACAGGTTACCAAAACAGCTCTGGCAGCGTAGGCGGTGGAGTCCTACACCTTGTCCCCGCCCAGGTTCATGTCAATGGACACAACAACATAGACCGTGAGACAGATATCCTCGATGATGACCTGCCCAACAGTCAGGAAGGGAACAGTGTGGACAGTCTCGGAACCATCTCATCTTTTGAGGGCAGAGCCACTCCAGCAGATCTATACTATCAGTCAGAGACGGTCATCAATGGACAAGATGCACAACATGACTTGGAGAAGGGCGTCCATGAGAAAATACCAGAGCCCAAAGTCCACAGCTCCTCATCTGTCCAAGAGCACTTAAGATCATCTAGTGACTATGCCAACCAGAATGGCAACATCTACCGATCTCAATCATTAGGGGCAACCCCGACCACAGAGCAGAATTACATGCCCAAAGCTCCCACACGCACGACCAGCAGTAGGGATGCAGTGCAGAGGGGACTGAATGTGTGGCAACAATATGGTGTTCCTGAGGTCCCTGTCACAGATGGGGTCACCTTCAACCCTGTATTGCAATCCCACAGCCTTCCGGAGTTTCCTCACATGGCATCTCAGCAAGACATTGAACAGTCCATTGAAGCACTCAACATGCTGATGCAGGACCTTGACCCAGCACTTACTCAAGTCCCCAAGTCCCATAGTGCCCCATCTGGAGACGATGGAGTGGTCACCACCCAACCATCTTTTTCTCAAACCCAAGCACGGCCGTCCTACCAAGCTGACGCAGCCATTCATGGCAGTGGTGGAGTCTCTTCGGGGGGATACCCTTCGACCTTTCAACAGGTAGCCACAGAGCCTCCACAACCCACCATGAACCAGCAGAGACCCACAGCCATATCCCAGCATGCTGCATTCCTTTCAAAGGCAGAAGGTCAGGCTCCAATGTCCCAGTCCACAGTGCCTTCCTCCGCCTTTGGAGTTCTCCATTTGAAACCCCTCAACATTTACCCCTCAAGTACCACGTCCCAGGCCCCTGAGCCCCAGGAGAGCCAGCGTAGCTATTCTGCCTCCTCATCCCCTCTGCCTAAAGAGTCTGAACCGGAAGATGCCAACTACAAATTGGATGGTCTTGTAGCTCACCGTGTAGCTGGTAAGATCAACTTTAAAATACTTCTTTCAGAGTTCTCAGAGTCAGTTTACTTATTCAAAGGTACAATAGTAATGATACATTAATCATTCCTTGGGCAATAACCAGCCAAGACTTTTAAACATCAGGCTAAATTACTCATGCATATTTTTATGTACAGTGGGTACGAAAAGTATTCAGACCCCCTTAAATTTTTCACTCTTTGTTATATTGCAGCCATTTGCTAAAATCATTTAAGTTCATTTTTTGACAGCACCTGAGTTAAATATTTGAGTGTCACAGCAAAGGGTCTGAATACTTAGGACCATGTGATATTTCAGTTTTTCTTTTTTAATAAATCTGCAAAAATGTCAACAATTCTGTGTTTTTCTGTCAATATGGGGTGCTGTGTGTACATTAATGAGGAAAAAAACTTAACTTGAATGATTTTAGCAAATGGCTGCAATATTGTTAAGAGTGAAAATTTTAAGGGGGTCTGAATACTTTCCGTACCCACTGTATACAGAATGCGAATTGAAACAAGCTATCAAGGGAAATATAGTAAAGGAAAACATCTCCATGCTTGTCTTGAGTGCTTGAGTTAAGCTTGTCTTGAGAACTTGCCTTTTACACTCAAGGCTGTGCCTTTTTTGGTGGAGTTTCTTTGTTGGCGTTGACATAAGAACTGTGAGATCACAACGAACGCTTTGTCCAAAGTGCTTCTGGCTCAAGCCTCAATATCAGACCACATTTCTTTTTTGTGCCAAGCCCAAACCGAACATTTGTACATTACATCTGGAGAAGTGACAAAACAACTGAGGGCTGCTTTGGGGCAGTGCATTTTTTTCTGTCAACATTATCTGTTCAGCTTGAAAGTTTAGGAAGATTTTCCTGGAAGCTTAGGTCCTCTCATTTTCGATGATTTTAGAATAATGGCAGCACATAAGAGTTGTTTGTTGTCCCAGTCTTGTTTTGTTGCAGGCTAAATTGGAAGGAGCGGAAGCGCTCAACTGTGGCATAATAAAAGCTCAGCTGCTTTCGAGCCGTGTCACGCTCGTTCAGCGGCCTCGTTTCGCTTCGACGACTTTTAGCCTCACCCTGCTTCATTCTACTACGTTAATAAATCATTAGCTCATCCATGAACATGATTTCTGCCTGAGTCCCGTCGGATTGCATCGGCTGTGGGGTTGAAGACCACAACTCCCATGATTCCACACTCAGTCATGGCGTCATCAAACTACACCTTTGTCTATTTGTTTATTTTTAATACGCGCCCTCTAGCAGCGAAAATTAACTATTGTGCCTTGATTTATATCAATGAGAGCACTTGCTTTTATAAAACTGCCGGATATTTTTTTTTAAATAGTATTTTATTTTATTTTATTATTATTTTGTATTTTATTTTATTAATATTGTACTTGTAATTGTTATTATAAAACAGATAGTTGTTACTAAATTCGAATTGGATAAAATAAAATAATAAAATAATATAAAATAGAATAAAATAAAAAGTGTGTGAACTAATGTAAATGTAAAGGCATAGTTCACCTAAAAATGAAAGTTCTTTCATCATTTACTCATTTTCATGTTGTTCCAAACCTGTATGACTTCTGTGAAACACAAAAGAAGATATTTAAAAAAACAATGGAGTACAGTGTTGTTTTGGACCCCATTTATTTTCGTAGTATTGATGAAAACAATTGAAACAATCACAAACAAATATTTTGTGATCCACAAAGAAAAAAGGCATACAGGTTTGGAATGACATGAGAGTAAATGATGACACAGTTTTAATTTTGGGATAAATATCTTTAACAAAGGAGTAAACTGTGGCAAGTAATAGTAATTAGGAAGAATAAAGTCTCCCATTTCCTATTTCTTTCACTATTTGCTCTATTTTAATTTCTCTCCTTTATAGGGCTGCACGATTAATCGAATGTGATTGTCATGCGAAATTTGTTAGTAATGCCGGTTCTGTAATCAGCAGGAAATCATCATCACATGCTTTCAGATGGAGCAGAATTTACTACACATAGCCGTAGTTCACTGACAAGTTATGCAAAAACATCACAGACAATTTTATTGCGCAATTCTGAAATCGAAGAAATCGTTTGCGATAATGACAGCTGTTTGCATAGCTTCTCAGTGAGCTACGGCTCTGTGAAGTAAATGCTGCTCCATCTGAAAGCATGTGAAAATACCACATTTAATAACATATTTTTACTCCAAACTCACTTCATAACGTCAGTCGAGTGTTTGAAATAAATCCTTCTGTGAGATGATGTGGCTTCTTACACAGAATATGGCACACAACATATTTCATAGTATTTAAACAGTGATAAAGGCATTGCATTATAAATATACTTTATTTGAATGAAAATTATAATAATAAGAACTCAGATAAACCTATCTATTGCCGTAGTCGTGTGTATATTAGTCACGTTGAATCAATGAAAGCAGTTGAATCTGTTTATTCAGCTGCAGCAATAGGCATTTCCTGGATTACTTCTTCGGGGCATATTTGGAGTTTCAGCTCGAGAGCGCCCTCTGGCCTTTGGATGGAGATTTACTGCTGATCACAGAACCGTGCTTCACTGAAATATACGCATGACAATCGCAGCTTCTGTCGAATTGCGATCTCGATTCCATTTCGATTTATCGTGCAGCCCTACTCTTTTATCTCCCTCACTAATTTAACACTCGTCCTTAACCATTAACCTGTGTTGGAATTTCACCTTGTTTGGGTGAAATAACAGTTAACAAGAGTATTACTTCAGTTTGCTCCTTAGTGCTGGGTGACCGCTACAAACAAATTGCATTTGTATTATGTGTTGAGTTAAAGTTACACAGTAGCAGGACAAAGGCCAGTCTGTCTGGATCAACTGAGCCCATGTCACAAGATCCAGTCTACCAGACCTGGGGAACAATAACAAGGAGAGCAGACACTGGCTTCATTCAAGGACTCTCCTTTACCTCGGTTTAAGCATTTATATGAAGGACAAAGGGTAATAAATCCTCCCTGAGTCTGGAGACCATTATACAATCCTTATCTGCCACAGGGGAGTAAACGTCTCGTACACTGACTGTCTTCGGTCCCGTTCGAGGGTCCATGCAGGCTGTGTTCAGTAGCCAGGTACCAGGATGAATGTTTGTCTTGGACCTCTCCTGAGTCTGATCCAATCCAATACAGATAGAACAATGGCATAAACGAGACCTTGGAGAGAGAAAGAGCAGTTTATCCTGCTTCTCAGATTAGATATCTTATTCACCTCATGCTGGATCCCTGAGGTTTAGAAAGGAGAAAGCTATGCCAGAAAAAGAATAAACCTTTTTCTCATTTGCCTTAACTCAAAATATATTTGTAATGATTTTACTATTGATATAAGATGAGGAAGCATTGTAAAAGTGCTTTTGATGCTTTTGATCTGGCAATTAAGTCTCTGACAGTTAAATGTGTCATTTGACAATTTTGCAGTCGTTAATGTCTTGTGATTATATAAATAAAATATTGTTTATATTCTTGCATATTAATGAATATAATTAAATATCATTCTTCCTTTTGTTCATTTAGTGAATAACAGTGTGAAAACTAATGCTTTGATTATTTTGACTATAGTTAATTTTATTTCTTGCATTATGCATTTTGAATCGAACAGAGTTTGTTTTGGTTTAAATGATGGTTTCTCTGATTGAATCACCTCAGTTACAGCAGCTTGAATCTATTAGGACATTGTGATCACTAAGGTAACAGCACAGTTTGTCATGCACAGCTGTAGATCTGGCACACTACATCTGTTTTGCATGTTTCCTCTCCCGACCTTGTCTGAAGTGACACTGGGGGATATAGACCATATGATATCCCTGCACATCCAAGTGCTGGATTCATCGCTTCCCAGACCAGTCAGTTTTGGAATTTGAATGTTTGACATTGTCGTAGAAACCGCATGAGTCTAATCCAGGAATGTGAATAGATTGCAGATGGAGTGTGAGCACCCTTTTGAAGACCCTCCCTTTGTGACATCATTACCCTATTGTTCTGAATTGCTAGTTTTGCGGGCAGCACTACAGAAGTGGTTTAAATGCACCCTGGATGTCTGGCTAACGTCACGTTTAAGAACAAGGGTGGCCACTTGTCCAGAAGTGGAAGTGGTCAATCTCTCTGAAGTGCTTCCCAGTGCACGTGAGGTTCTGATGGTCAGAGCTGTGGTCTGACCGCATGTATCAATTGCAGGCCGCGCTCAGGGAGCTAGTAAATATTTTGCTCAGCCTGTTGCCCGGTTTCCATGATATTCCACTCACTCCCACCAGATTGTATTAATGTTTTGCTCGCTCTCAAACTGAGTCCAATTGAATGAGCTTAAAACTGTGTGTGGCTGTACATGCTTTCACAGAACCCGTAAAATCTCTTTTTTTCTTATCTGTAACTTGATAGTGAATAGTGAATCAGCTTTGCTTAAGCCTAGCACATACCATAATACATTGCAGTCTTTCAGCCTGTGCACATTTAAAGTCTCTAATTCTATGGGAAAGTCTTTCTGCTTAGAACAGTTAACAAGAGTATTACTTCAGTTTGCTCCTTAGTGCTGGGTGACCGCTACAAACAAATTGCATTTGTATTATGTGTTGAGTTAAAGTTACACAGTAGCAGGACAAAGGCCAGTCTGTCTGGATCAACTGAGCCCATGTCACAAGATCCAGTCTACCAGACCTGGGGAACAATAACAAGGAGAGCAGACACTGGCTTCATTCAAGGACTCTCCTTTACCTCGGTTTAAGCATTTATATGAAGGACAAAGGGTAATAAATCCTCCCTGAGTCTGGAGACCATTATACAATCCTTATCTGCCACAGGGGAGTAAACGTCTCGTACACTGACTGTCTTCGGTCCCGTTCGAGGGTCCATGCAGGCTGTGTTCAGTAGCCAGGTACCAGGATGAATGTTTGTCTTGGACCTCTCCTGAGTCTGATCCAATCCAATACAGATAGAACAATGGCATAAACGAGACCTTGGAGAGAGAAAGAGCAGTTTATCCTGCTTCTCAGATTAGATATCTTATTCACCTCATGCTGGATCCCTGAGGTTTAGAAAGGAGAAAGCTATGCCAGAAAAAGAATAAACTTTTTTCTCATTTGCCTTAACTCAAAATATATTTGTAATGATTTTACTATTGATATAAGATGAGGAAGCATTGTAAAAGTTCTTTTGATGCTTTTGATCTGGCAATTAAGTCTCTGACAGTTAAATGTGTCATTTGACAATTTTGCAGTCGTTAATGTCTTGTGATTATATAAATAAAATATTGTTTATATTCTTGCATATTAATGAATATAATTAAATATCATTCTTCCTTTTGTTCATTTAGTGAATAACAGTGTGAAAACTAATGCTTTGATTATTTTGACTATAGTTAATTTTATTTCTTGCATTATGCATTTTGAATCGAACAGAGTTTGTTTTGGTTTAAATGATGGTTTCTCTGATTGAATCACCTCAGTTACAGCAGCTTGAATCTATTAGGACATTGTGATCACTAAGGTAACAGCACAGTTTGTCATGCACAGCTGTAGATCTGGCGTACAACATCTGTTTTGTATGTTTCCTCTGCCGACCTTGTCTGAAGCAACACTGGGGGATGTAGACCATATGATATCCCAGCACATCCAAGCGCTGGATTCATCTCTTCCCAGACCAGTCAGTTTTGGAATCCGAATGTTTGACGTTGTTGTAGAAACCGCACAAGTCTGATCCAGGAATGTGAATAGATTGCAGATGGAGTGTGAGCACCCTTTTGAAGACCCTCCCTTTGTGACATCATTACCCTATTGTTCTGAATTGCTAGTTTTGCGGGCAGCACTACAGAAGTGGTTTAAATGCACCCTGGATGTCTGGCTAACGTCACGTTTAAGAACAAGGGTGGCCACTTGTCCAGAAGTGGAAGTGGTCAATCTCTCTGAAGTGCTTCCCAGTGCACGTGAGGTTCTGATGGTCAGAGCTGTGGTCTGACCGCATGTATCAATTGCAGGCCGCGCTCAGGGAGCTAGTAAATATTTTGCTCAGCCTGTTGCCCGGTTTCCATGATATTCCACTCACTCCCACCAGATTGTATTAATGTTTTGCTCGCTCTCAAACTGAGTCCAATTGAATGAGCTTAAAACTGTGTGTGGCTGTACATGCTTTCACAGAACCCGTAAAATCTCTTTTTTTCTTATCTGTAACTTGATAGTGAATAGTGAATCAGCTTTGCTTAAGCCTAGCACATACCATAATACATTGCAGTCTTTCAGCCTGTGCACATTTAAAGTCTCTAATTCTATGGGAAAGTCTTTCTGCTTAGAAGCTAGTAGCATGTCGCTAGTAGCATGTATATCTGGTATCTAACATGTTATTGTTTTCATTTCATGTTATTTTTTTTCTATTTACTATTTTGAACTCCCTATTAGATAAATACTCTTGATAGGCAACTCACACAACGAGCACATGATATTCTACTAACAATTGCAGTGGAGTTTGGCTTTAGCATATTGCTAAGCTAATGTCATGATACTATAATTAAAATAAAAATACACAGAACACATAAATATCAAGTAAACCAATTAGATGTTAATTAGATTGAACTATTTTAATTTTGATTTTACGTCACTGAATGGATTAATTAATTAATTATAATAGTGATTTTTTTTCTTAGAAAACAACTTAAATTAATTTAGGTGCATTCCATCTGCTTTCAGTTACCATACTCCTTTAGTTAATAATTTCTGTTCTCTGTTTTTGCCTCCCTACTAGAGAAGACTTACACAAATACAGTTTTATTTACAGCGTAGACTCTTGAGATCAAACAGAACATGATGAAATAGGCTTCAAAGTTGTTTTGAGGCTGTTCCAGAGCTTTATCCAGAAGCACACATTACCCTTTAAATCCATGGAGTTTCTCTAATATTCCGGCTTTTTGTAATCTAGGCTGTTTGAATGAGAACATTGTTCGTAGTTCCAACAGGCTTTTATGTGGTGTAAATTGGACGGCAGTGCAGCTTTTGACAGAGAGTTAATTCTTAAGAGCTCATTGGCAGTTTTCCATGGATTTCTTCAAGGAATATTTTGACATTTGGATATATATCAGGTATGATGAATGTTCTTCTGCAGGCCCTAAAATGTATCTGTTAGAGATGACATCATATATTAATTTTCTTGGCAGGAGTTCAGTCTGGTGAAATGTCACCAGATGAGACTTCAGTTCCTGGACGGTGCCGGACCATCAGTGAGGACCTTTCCCAAGATGAGAGCCTAACCCGAGGAAGCTCGGTCCGCTCCCCCATCCGCTGCATCTCACCCGAGCTGGCCAATACGATTGCTATGAACCCTGGGGGGCGGCCCAAGGAGGTAGAGCGCATGGATATTACCCCTAGTATTAATCCCAAAAATAAATGTGGGTGTATATGTGTTTGTGCATTTGAATATGTGTCCACCTGTCATTCTTTCTCCAGAGACACATGCACAGCTACAGAGAAGCATTTGAGGAAATGGATGGGGGTCCCGTCAGCCCCCCTCCGATCGCTGGTGGTGAGGCCCTACCCCAAACCCCTGCCTTCCCTGTCTCGCCACAAACCCCTTACTTCAATCTGAGTAAGTTTCCCACGCTGGAGGAGGAGGGTGCCATAGAGCTGTAGAATCACTGCCTCTCTTTGTTAAAATTTTAAAAGGGTCACAACCATCACTGATCATAGGTTTTGTTCATTTTGATGATCTAGAAAACACAAGTGTTTAGCATAGCAAGAAACTATAATGAAGTCCAGCTGTCAGCTGTTTGGATATTATTGGTATAGTTTTAAAGTAAAGAGTAAAGTTCTAAAAAAACTAAAGAAACATGGCAAGAAACTACAATAAAGTCAAACAGCCAGATATTTGGATGTTATTGGTATCATACAGTGTTTAGAGGAAAGCTCCGTTTCAAAATATAGTGAACTGCCTACATAGGTGTATATCATAGGCGTGCTTCTAACACAAATGCTATTCCAGAACAGAACATGATCAGCATGATTATTGCCTTCTTTAAGCCAAATTCTAAAGCAGCATTGCTTATACCCTTCACGGAGAAAATGCATTGCAAGAAACTATGAATAATCAATCTGAGATGGTGGAGAATGCGGGCAGGTATTGATTACAAATATAAATCATTCAGTAAATAAAAGTATTGATAAAAGTAGTTCAATCTTATTAAAAACTGGGTTACCCAATATGTACTGTATTTTGTTTGTATTCTTATTAAAATTTACCATGAGCTTAGCAAAATGCAAACATGAATCTCAATTGAAACTCAATTAAAATCAATTGCAAGTTGGATTTCACATGTATGACACCACTGCCTATGTGGAGTGTTACAAATTGCTCACATATGAGGTCACAGATCAGTTAGGATGCAGACTTGGGCTACGTTCACACTAGTGCATTTTTGTTTTAAAACACATAACTTTTGCTACAGTTACGCCTGTCATTTACACTTCTCCAGCATTTTTGACCCTCGAAACCAGAGACTTTCGTAAAGGCTGCAGACCCCATTTTAGTTTGAAAACGCCGGGGTTGTGTTTCAGTGTAAACGGACCAAAACGGAGACTTTTAAAAACTATGGTATGGCTGCCCACATTCGCTCTGCGTATCCTTGATGACCGTGTGACATGAAGACTGAATTGCAAACTTTCCTGGCTTTGTTGTAATTTTTAGCAGCCATTGTGCAGCTAAATTCAGTATTTTATAATACAACAGCTGCCTACATGCCCAAGAGGCGAGCTGTGCTTAGAGCAATCATCAACAAAAACGTCCTTGCTTTTCCTCACCATTATGCTCATTGTTGTACCTGCCAGTGACAAGCAACCAACTTCCTGTTTACACTTTTACACGCATTCCCAGTGTGCATGAATGGTCATGTGACATCCGTTTTCGGTTGTGTTGTTTGGCTGGAGGATCGTTTCTGAAATGCAGTGAAAATGCCAGTGTAGACGAGGATCCTTTACATTTTAAAACGCCGTTTTAAAACGAAAATGCACTAGCGCAATGCATGTGATGGACAGCAAGAAAGCTCACTAGGTTTTGGAACAGAGCCATTGTGTTTCATAATTAGCACATCAGAATAGTGGTGTTTTTTTTTTTTTTTTTTTTTTGTAAAAGAACCTTTAGGGTTAACATTACATTAACACACTGTCTATAAGCCAACGTGAGGTCTGGCTGTACTTAAATCCAACCCTACCTCGGGGTGTTTGCGTGAGCCAGTAGATATCGTTAACATATGCTGTAGTTCATTCACATGTTCTCAACGTTAAAGATGTGTGGCCTCCGTTTGAGTGATAACACACACTTTGGGTTGGCTCATAGACGGGCATAAGTGCTCAGATCAGAAAGACCCCACTCACACTTGCTCCCCAGCAATTTCCAATGCCTGTGGGCCTGAGAAATGCTTTTTGTCAGCAGTTTTTCTGGGGCATGCTCGCCTCCACAGTCATTGTATCTCAATGCAAGAACAAGCGCATTTGCGCCTCAGGTTTCATTTGCAAATGAATTTCTCCAGTTCAGGTTTTTATAACCTATTGCTTCATCTTCCCATCCAGCATGTTGTCCCTGCAGGTTTAATATAAAGCTGCTTGTAAAAGTCTGTAACCTCTTTATAAGGTTAAATACACACAATGTTAAGCATCTCTGTTTTCCTTGGACTTCCACAGCATTTCTTTTTTACCAGACACCTAATTTGAAACCAATTCAAGTCATCCTCTTGAGCTGACATCTTACCCTGAGGCCACTTCACGTTCAAAGCTCTTCAGACTAATTCTGCTACCACAAGCGTCTAGATGTAGCTTCAGAGAACAAAACAGATATTCAGCCTACAATAACACAAAACATAATCAATCAAATCCTGTCCTTTTGTGTTACATTACCACAGGATATTTAGTGAACATTAGGGCTGGGAGGTACAGTATATTGAATGTTCATGATATACTTGTGATGGTTTTGCTGGTGATATAATGTGCTGTTTATTTACAAGCTTCTAAATACAGTTTCATTGGAAAAGTTTTGTAATCCCTCTTTGTTTTATAATTCTTAAATATGAAAACGCTAAGACTCTGTAAGTTGGCGTTAGAGTTGGTAAGTTCAATTCAGGTCAAACTATCAGCTTAAAAGAATCAAATCAAAAGTCATTAATTGATTCTTTTGCATTACCGTTCAAAAAAACTGTTATGGTTTAATTAAAATATATGTAGAAAACTTTAATAGCAAAAAAGTTTAATTTACATGAATCATTTCAAATTTCAGGAAATTTATAATAATTCAATTAATACATTCATAATAAATTAATTCAATTGAATTGATTCAACAATTTGTTTGCATTTTTCATTTTTCGCATAGGATTTTTTCAAGTATTAAAATGTTTTAGTAAAAATACTTGTAGGTAAATTTTGCCGTTTATAATGTTATATTGGTGCATAGAAATGAACATGCCTCAATATCATTATTTGAAAAGTTTGGTTCCAAAATGCTATAAATCCATTTTGATTAATTTGAGTAAAAATGTGTTTTCTTCACCAAGAAAGTGGCAAGACGAAAACCACTATTTTCTGTTTCAAACTTTCACATCGCTTTTTTAGGTTATAATAACATAAAACAATTCTAATCCAGATTTTGATTTTCAAAGATTTATTATATAAATGTATCATTCTTTACCCAAAATGCAATAAATCCATTGAATCAATATAAAAGTAATTTTTCATATTGAAACTGTTGAAAATACACAACATGGTTAATCCACATATGACAGCCTCTGAACTTCAATACTAAGTCAATACTAATCTTATATACAGGCACTGGACTAAAAATACATTCAATCAGTCATCGCTCCCAAAATTAATTCAATGGGTCATCTTGTTAATGCTATAAATTAATTACAGCAATAAAATAAAATTTCATCATGAACAAGAACATGAACAACAATATCACATTAGACCACAGATTATGCTCTGACACATTTCAGGATACAACAATACACAAAATTGATTATGCAAATTTTATTTGTGCAATTTTATAAACACAAAACTCTCGCTGTCTTCAAGCGTGCTGCTTTCCACAGCTCTGCATCCACATCACCATTAATTTTCCCCATTTGTGTTTTCACACCAGTCTTGTTTTGCTTGGCACCACTGTTTATTTGTTGTTTTTGAATCACTCGTCCTGTTGTTCATAGCAATCGTTGTGTAGTGAGGTCTTGAATGTTTTCAATGTGACATTTTCGAGATCTGTTCAGCTGAGTTGTATTCTGTCCGCATGATCTGTCTTGTTTTCATTCTTTTGACTGGGCACCGTTACAGCGAGTGTTAATCACATCATTAACTCTTTTAAAGAGGCGCTTGCACAGCCTTGCCACAGAGCATGAGACATTAGCTCATTCCCCAGCCATGTCACATACTGAAATAGCCACCTCAGTCTGATGTCTTTAAAAGCTCAGTGTGTATCACGATAGTCTCTCAAATGCTCTTGGTCTGGAAATTGGTCTCTTTCATAAGATTGTCAAATGTTGACGCCTTGAAGATGGAAGTGGTACACACTGATCTGTATTATAAGGGCTAAGGACCAAAAACATACTTTGTGCAAGTACGCAAATGCAGATGTGAATGCTTGGCCAATGCATTGCAAGTGCACCATCATATTGAACATGATTTGCTCAAACCTCAGTACTCAAGGGGGTGATAGAGTTACCTTCAATTGTCTGTGCCATTAAACCAGATGTGTGTTGGGTTATTCAAGTGGTCCACTATATACAGTAGCACCCCTTGCAGCATTGCATAATGCATTATGAATTGCAGTCTGACACATTTTGGAAATAGGGCTGTTTAATTTAATACAGTTCATTAACCAGCCAATATTAACACATTTAATCATGCTCTCTGACTCATAACAGCATATTAAAATTATTTTTTTATATGCTAATTCCATATGTGAACTGTCCAATGGAATTTTTCAACTCAACTGGCAAATGGATAAAGAAAAGCAATTTGTAAAAAAATATATATTTAGGTTTTTAATGCTTTGTTTCAATTTAAATGTTTTATTGTTCAATTTAATATTTAAAAATATATATATTTCAGTTTAATTGACTATTTTAAAAAGTTATTTAATTTTTAAAATAAAAACATTGATTTGATTCCTTTATTTATTTATATTTAAGTGGCTCTCCTAGTCCTTCATAATGAAAAAGGCAGAACAGAACGAGTCGGTTATGCGGAATGCGTTCTTGCATTCAAAAACAGCTTGATGGAGTGTAACAAAATTAATTCTGTTAATTTTTAAATGATTGACAACCCTGTTCCGATTTCAGCAATATGTGAAATTAAGCTTGCCAAGCTACAAGCATTTGCCTTGATGTACTTGCTTAAAGTATGTTTTAAGTTGATATCACTGTGAATAATATCTTTCTGTGTTCTGTGTCGCTTTAGGTCGATCTCCTCCAGGACTGGCTAAAACACCACTGTCCTTCCTGGGCTTGAAGCCCCACAACCCTGCTGAGATACTGCTCAACCAGACAGGCTCAGGTGAGGCTTTGCACACATATACAGTGAAATGCACTTGAAGACACACGTGGTCTTTTGGCTTTGGTCTGAGCCGCTCCATGCTGTGCTCCGTATAGGGAGCTCAAATACATCTTGTGGGCCATATATCAAAATAACCTTTCATTTCTCCCTCTCAAGTGTTTCCCTTTCTCCTTTTCTACTCTCTTGAGCAGTGAGCTCATATGTATTTTTAAATGAATTGGTGTTTTCTTTTCATATGCAGTTATATTGGGATCATTTTACTGTGGTCTTTTAATGTGTGTGTGTAACTGTGGGAGAGCGTGAAAGGTTTTGTTCCAAAACCCAGTGAGCTGCCTAACTAGGTAGCATTTTAAGTGAACACTGACACAGAAGGTCACGTTATTATGCAGCTTTCTAAGATAGCACAGTGGCCAAATTCTAAAGCATTCGTTTCAGATTGGGAATATTTTGTTATATTTTTTGGGAACAAATATATTATTTTTTATATTTTTACAATTTAAAATAACTGTTTTTTTATATATATTTTAAACTGTAGTTTATTCATGTGATGCAAAGCTGAATTTTCAGCATCATTACTCCAGCCAAATGTGCATTTCTAAGAGACAAAAACATGTAATATTATTAATATTGCAGCCCACACTGCAAACTGTGCTGAAGATGTGTGTCATCAAAGTCATTATTTAAACAATATCACTCACCAGAAACTAAGAAATTAATTTTTCTATCAAAGGGGTCCTATTATGCACTTTTACAAAGTCTTGATTTTGTTTTGGGGGTGTACTAGAACAGGCTATCATACTAGGTTGTTAAAAAAAACACATTATTTTTCACATATTTTACATTATTACAACACCTCTCTCTCAGTCTGGCATGAACGGCTCAAATAGTTCCTGTATCAAATGAAAGCCTGCCTTCTGAAATACAAAATGTGCTGTGATTGGTCAGCTGGGCCAGTGTGTGCTGTGATTGGTTAGCTGGGCCAGTGTGTGGTGTGATTGGCAGCACTCGGCGCCTGGTCGGGAAATGTCACGCCCCTTACCATAGCCGCCTGCGAGCTTCAGTGTTAATATTGCGTCAAAATCAAATCAATTTGAGCGCGATTTAAACCCGGATGATTGTAAGCACTCGAAGTTCGTCTGCCTTGGGAAAGCTAGCGTGTCTCCGACATAGCGATAACACTCGTTGCCTTCTCTAGTGCAGCTCAACCAGGTCTCGTCCCATTCGTCGATATTTGTGATATCACAAATCCTGGAAAATATGCGTTGCAGTCCAAATGAGTCGTTCATTGTAGTTTTTGATAAGTGATTTCTGTTAAATAAAATATCTCCTTTTGAAGTGGACTTTGAGCTTTGTAGCTTTGCAGATCTTTTTTCATGCTCAAACAGCAACATTACAGACTAACTAAAGTTGAAAAAGTGAAAAAAGCATAATAGGACCCCTTCAAATTAAAAAACTTGAAGTGTTTGTCATGTTCTGACCATAAAGAGTAGTTTAAAACAACAAGTAATGGTCTGCTTTCTACAACTCTTACTTAGGAGCAAAAATCTATATTTAAACTTGAAATAAATAAAGATTTGAACTTTATCGTGATAATTATCGATATCAACTGATAATGAAAAAATGTATCGTGATAATTTTTTGGCCATGTTGCCCAGCCCTATTTCTACATATATTTACATTGTTAAATAATAGCCTATACTCACATGGTATGTGGAGTGCTCAACTTTTTTTTTTTATATATATATATATTCATATAAATAATTTATTGATTACTTGATTGTTGTTTTTATTGACAGACAACAATGAAGTCAATGTGCATAAATGTGACCCTGGACCACAAAACCAGACTTAAGTCGCTGAGGGATATTTGTAGCAATAGCCAAAAAAACGTTGTATGGGTCAAAATTATCGATTTTAATTTAATGCAAAAAATCAGTATCAGCAGAAAGTAAAGATCCATGTTCCATGAAGATATTTTGTAAATGTCCTACTGTAAATATATCAAAACTTAATTTTTGATTAGTAATATGCATTGCTAAGAACTTCATTTGGACAACTTTAAAGGCGATTTTCTCAGTATTTTGATTTTTTTTGCACCTTCAGATTCCAGATTTTCAAATAGTTGTATCTCGGCCAAATATCAATGGAAAGCTTATTTATTCAGCTTTCAGATTATGCATAAATCTCAATTTCGAGAAATGGACCCTTATGACTGGTTTTGTGGTCCAGGGTCACAAATACAGCATTGTATTTGTTACAGCATTGTATATAAAAAAAAATAAATAATAATAATAAAAGTGAGCACCCACTTTTATTATTATTATTATTATTTTTTAATTATTTTTTTACATGTCATGGATTGTATCTTCTTGCATGTCTTCTAGGATTGCACTGAAATTAAGCATATTAATGACAATTTATGTCCTTGATACTTTTATCTTGAATTAACCATATTCACTTGGATACTAAGATGGCGCCGCAGACGGCAGCCGCAGTGTTTGGCTCTCCAGTGTTTGTACTGTTTTTGTTAGTTTTTCCTGTTTTTTGTTTCTCAAACACGATCAGTTTTACCAGGAATGAGCTGCTGAACATTCGGCAGAACACACCACACAATCTTCTACCGGATTTCGTTTATTCGGACGTTTTGCTGAACGTTGTACTTGGCGGAGCTGCTGCGCTGATCAAACTGTGCAATTAAAGTACAGTATGTGCAATAACCTTATACTTATTTATCACCCTAAACCCTAGTACATCCCTACAACTTATTTTATTTTATTATATTCCTATTCCATCTATAGCACACCTGTACATACAATTTATTCTTTTTTTTGTGGTTTATATTTATGCATGTGTATTTTATTCACATCTCACTTTTATTATCTGTGTGTTGTTGTTGTCTCAGTGTACTGGAAGCTTGTGACACTATAACAAATTCCTTGTATGTGCAAACATACTTGGCAATAAAGCTCTTTCTGATTCTGATTCTGATTCTGATTCTCAGAGCAGTAAGACATTTGAAGCTATGTTGTATTATGGATATATACTCTGCTGCATGTCTAACAAAACCTGTGACTATATTCACATAAATTCAGCCATATTTATTTTAATAAATGACATTGCAGACAGTCTCTGGTTTGGTTCCAGAAACTAAGTGCTATGTTATCTGTGTTTCTGGAATGTGAGAAATGTGTGCTTATTGTAGGTGTTGCTGTCGATAATTAAATAAGATACTGATGATCTTGAGGGTAATTTTTGACAGGTGTGTGTGTGTAAGTGTAGTTTTGAAAGAATAGTGCATTCATTAGCTAAGGCATATTAAACTAATCCCACATTACATCTGCTTAATAAAGTGCATATTTCATTTCCCAGATGGAAGTCCAGAGACCAGGCTGCACGTGAAGTTTGTCCAGGACACGTCCAAATTCTGGTATAAACCAGATATCTCCAGAGACCAAGGTAAGGACGCAGTATATGTGTGTTCCAGGGTTAATTTATCTATATTCAAACCACCGAATGGAGGCTCATATCTCCTATAAATAGTAAAATGTGTCTCTCGCCACCCTATATGAGGTCAATCGCTGTTTGTCTCCACATCTGGTTTTCCTCTGTGCTCTTATTGGATTAGATCATCTGCGCTGGAGTCCTCTTTAAACGCAAGCACATGCAGTGAAATCACAGGGCACTCAACATGTGTGCTCAGTTAAATCCAGTGAACATCTGCATCTGTTGCTTCATTAACTTGTCTTAATGATAACGAATAAACCTCCTTAGCAAGATTTTTTTCCTTCACTCACTCCCTATCTCTCTGTGTGTAAAACTGTGGGGTACATTACAGCAATTTGTTAACATATTATAGCCTTCACCTTCACATCTGGTGAATAATGATGAGAAAATGTCACATGGTGAAAAATACATTTACATTTATTCATATAGCAGACATTTTTATCCAAAGCGACTTTCATAAAGTAATAAAATAATAATAACAAAAATATCTGGCGAATAATAATAAAAGAAAATAATATAAATAATATAAAAATGACACACACACACAAAACTTATATATATTTAAACAACCGTTGAATATGATATAATATTATATATTATATTATATTTAAACAAACTTCATCTTGTAAATGCTTACATGTGCAGTTTGACAGCCTCCGTCAGTGTTTATGGAATAATATTATTAATATTGCATGATTACCAATATGAAATGCTATAATAAAAGCACATATGCCTCTTGGACATTATTGACAAGCATTATTTGTACCCATTATTTATTATTTACTGAGTTCATGTCAATTTTGACTGACAAAAAGGGGAAAATATTTTATATTTTTTAATATTTTAATATAATATAATACTGGATATAATACTAGACATTTATGACTACTCTTTAAATTAAAATGACTCTTGATTATTTAAATATTTATATGAATAATATGAATATATGTATCTGTTATTTAAGAATAATATATAAACATGTTATATTTATATTGTAAATGATTGAAAGAGTGCATATTTTGTTTTGTTAAAGTTAAATGTCCAGTGTTATAGATAGAATCTTTATATATATATATATATATATATATATATATATATATTTTTTTTTTTTTTTTTTTTTGTAAATGACTCTTGATTATTTAAATATTTATATGAATAATATGAATATATGTATCTGTTATTTAAGAATAATATATAAACATGTTATATTTATATTGTAAATGATTGAAAGAGTGCATATTTTGTTTTGTTAAAGTTAAATGTCCAGTGTTATAGATAGAATCTTTATATATATATATATATATATATATATATATATATATTTTTTTTTTTTTTTTTTATGGTTAATAGTAGTACTTTTGGTTACTTTTTTGGTTAAACAGAACCTGGGATGTCATACATTTTGGATTCATATAGCTTGTCATTGATTATATTTATTTGAATTTTATAAGACTGAAGCTGCCGTTATGTTACCAAATAAACTGCCTTTGTGATTTTCTCCTCCTCACTGTAGCGATCAGCATGCTGAAAGATCAAGAGCCTGGAGCCTTTGTCATTCGGGACAGTCATTCATTCAGAGGGGCCTACGGCTTGGCCATGAAAGTTGCCTCACCACCTCCGACCCTGCAACCTACAAAGAAAGGTATTTAATATGCCTCCTCCACGCATGCGGCTAATGCAGATAATCATTTGCCAGATGTATTCCAGACAGGAGATCTGGATCATAATCCTGTTGTGTTCGCAGCAGACAAACACATTCACACACCCAACAACATACACTGAAACACATGTAATGTTTCATGATGAAAACCAAAGACAGTGTTTTCCCTGCACTACCTGTCAGAAGATTTAAAAACCCTACTTATTCTTTTTACTCTTAATATTATTGCATAGATCTCTGAAAACATGGATTCTGATTGGTCAGTCGTGGCATTCTGTAGTCACATGTTTTTGTATAATGACACTAAACAGTATAATTGACCACTGTACCAGACAATAATTTAAACAATTCAAAATGTATTTATTTATTTGTGTAGATTTAGTGTATGTCCATTTAATAAATTAATGAATACATATATATATTTTTTTTATTTTTTATTTTTATTTTTTTTATTATTATTATATTAAATAAATGGACATGAAATACTGTTTTTAAAGGGATAGTTCACCCAAAAATGAAAATTCTGTCATTAGTTACTCACCCTCATGTCGTTTCAAACCCGTAAGACCTTCGTTCATCTTTGGAACACAAATGAAGATATTTTTGATGGAATCTGAGAGCTCTCTGACCCTCCCATAGACAGCAACACAACTGAAATGTTCATAAGTCCAGCAACATAGCAAGGAGATAAAATAATCCATGTGACATCAGTGGTTCAACCGCAATTATATGAAGCTACGAGAATACTTTTTGTCCGCAAAAGAAAAAAAAACGACTTTATTCAACAATTCGTCTCCTCCGCATCACCCTATAGCGCCATTTTGGAGAATATCCGCTGGACGTAAACAGCTTATGCTGTTCTGTGTCAGTTGCGTCACACGAACACAACATTTCAGTTGCGTTGCTGTCTATGCAGGATCAGACAGCTCTCAGATTCCATCAAAAATATCTTCATTTGTGTTCCGAAGATGAACGAAGGTCTTACGGGTTTGAAACGACATTATGGTAATTAATGACAGAATTTTCATTTTTGGGTAAACTATCTCTTTAAGATCATGAGAAACATAAATTCAGTCAGTTGTGTACAAATTTTGTAATAAATATTGCAATGCAAATATGAACAAATACAGTACTTTTACAGATATCAACATGGGGTTTAATTTAGTAATTTAAAGTCTGTTCTACAAATGATAGTATTATTGGTTGTTTTTTATTGTACTGTTTTGATATTTGAATTTCTTTCTTAATCATTATTACAGCTGGAGATGTCACTAATGAGCTGGTGAGACATTTCTTGATTGAGACGAGTCCGAAAGGCGTGAGACTGAAGGGCTGCCCTAACGAGCTGTACTTTGGTAAATCAAACTGTTTAAATTTGTTTAATTTAAAATGTTGTCAAATCTGTTCTGAAACCTATTGAGCTGTGTTTAGTATTAACATGTTGCAAGCACCATGTTGGATCGATTTTTTACTTTTTTTTTTTTTTTTTAAATGAGGCTTTCGAATGCGAACACTGACACGAGAATAATTTGTTGAATGTTCACTAATCTGAAAGTCCAATCTGCCAAGCTTGTAGAACAAATGCGTGTGTGGTTTTCGCTCTTCAATACAAGTTAACATGTGAATCCTTCCCTTTAAATCAAGCTGTCCGTGTAGGTTCCAGAAAGCTGTAGAACATATGTAGTCCAAACGACAGCATGGGAGCAGCTGACATTATTAAGTACAGCTTAAAGACAGCCCCTCTCTAATTTACTGTCTACTGACCACATTACACGGAGACCTAGTTTATTCAATGGACAGTGCTGTCTTCTCCAGTATGCCCCATTCCACATCAAATAAGGAGACATAAAAATCAGGACTGGGCAGCTTGCATTACGGTAACCATTGCATAAGCGTTTGTTAATTATGAAAAGCAGAACAGACAAAGAAGAACTCTGATTTGTGGCAGCGAAAGCAGCTGTGGGTGAAACTTGGCAGGATTACTCTGTTGTCGGGAATAGCACTCGTGTTAATACAGCGATATTTAAGCTCCACTCCTCCGGTTGAATCTCGGCCAGGACGCCCACTGCTTACAGGAACAGTTCACCCAAAAAAAATGGTGTTATCATGTTTCTCATCATCCTGTCATTCCAAACCCCTATGCTGTTAAATTTCGCTGTTGTTATAAAAGGTGAATTTCTGTAGAATCTTTAAGCTACTTTTTATTCAGTTCACAGGGACTACGGTTATCAAAAAGGACAAAAGCTCCATAAAAGTATCATAAAACTTGTCCAACCAACTTAAGCGCTAAGTTTTCTGATGTCATATGATAGCTTTGTGTGATGAAAAGATCAAAATTTTGTTTTTTTTCCACTGAAAAGCTTGCATAGTTCAAAGTGCCGTGTCAGGTTTTTGGTCTTTGTGTGTTTTGTAACTGAACAACATTGACCTCAAATCTGACACAATGCTTTTAACCGTGCCATATTTGATTTTGAGTGAATAACAACTTACATTTAGGTCTCTTTCAAATTTTTTTTTTTGGCATAAAACTGTCATATGGGTTCAGAAGGCTTGTATTGTAGTGCACCAGTCATATTGACTGCTTTTGTGACACTTTATGGTTGTCTTTTTGTTTTGGAGCTTGACAACTTCTGTCATCATTTAATTTCAAATATTGAAAATAATGGACAGAATACTACAAAATTTCACCACTTAAAGAAGAAAGTGGGGTTTGGGACAACATAAAGGTGAGTAGCTGTTTAGGAGTGAACTATTCCTTGTAAAGGGGCCTTAAAGTAAACTGTCCTCAGTTAGTGTTGATAAAATCTGATTGCTGAAGGAGGAGAGTTTAAAAGCTGATAATAACATTTAAAATTGGCATCAAGGACTCATTTCTGCTATCAACCTGGACATTTTGCTTCCGCAGTTCTGCTGTTTCTCATGAGCAGTGGGAAACATTCTGCCCAAGCAAAGTCTCTCCAGTTGTTTTTGTCCTAATATAGTCAAATATTTGAAGGAGAGGTTTAGTAAAGAAAGACTCTGGAGGTTAAACCAAGTGTCGGTATAACTGTCCCTCCTATCATCCAACTTTCGCTGACACAACTGGTCAACAACATGGATTTATGGTTTGTCAATGCCGGGCATCAAAGTTTGACTGCTTCGGGAGGGTTGTAATGTAAAGTATGCCCTCCTCTGATTTCTGCTCGTAAATCTGACTCCAATTTTGTTTTCATGTTTTCTGTGTTCAGGCTGCCTGTCTGCACTGGTCTACCAGCACTCAATCACTCCTCTGTCTCTACCCTGCAAACTAGTCATACCAACCAGAGGTGAGACGACATATCACTTTCTCTACACATACAATGGGGTCCAAAAGTCTAAGGCTGATGATACATGGGGCAACTTTTTGAGCAATTTTGCCGGGCAACTTTTTTTGAGCAATGTTGCTTGGGCACTTTCCCATTGAGAATGGATGATAAATGTCTATCTGGATACTTTAGATCGGTCGTGGGTCCTTGTGTCTCTCCTAGTTAAATGTGAATATACATTTAAGTTAAAAAAAAAAGTTATTTTTTTTCATGTATTTTTAATTTATTTAGTTTTTCCCCCCACTGTGTAAGCTGCTGCGACTTTTTATAAAATATATTAAAAAAAATGCAGTTTAGAGCTGCAGACAAAATGATCTGTTAAACTTCATGTTTGTTAGCATTTTTCAAAAGATCCATTATGTTTGGTAACTAAATGGAACAGTTTTGGAAGGTCATAGTAACCAATTGAAGTGATTATTCAGTCACATGACTTGAGGAAAAGTAACACGACTTTTTACATGCACATCTATAAATGTATTTGGTAAGTGTGTTTTATTGTAGCTTATGCACATACTAGCTCTCTGAATAAAATGTTTATCCATCTCATGGGAGGGCATGTGGTTTTTATGCATATTTCAGTTTTTTATTTGCTCCTTGGTGTATTTATCCAACAATTTCACACAATTTGCAGAACAATACAAGGGAACCTAAGCATCTGTATTCTTTTGTTCAAACATGAAAGTTTGATTGATACTGTTGTTAAAGCAAAACAATATCTAAAAAAATACAAATTAGTAAGGCCAGATGCATACTTCCACTGTGACTTTTTTGTACGTACTGTACATGCCTACTCATCATGACCTCACTTAGCTGTGCTCTCTGTCATGATGATGTATGTCCTGTTTGCCCGGTGTGAATAATTGTGAGCATTTTCCGAGGTCTGTGCATTCAGCTGGCCTCTGTCCTCAGCCAACTGCTATGTGCCATTCAGGTGTCAGGGGGCATGAAACCACACACCTTTATGTGTGCATCTCTGCCTTTTCAAACACTGTGTGACAGCGTGTTAGCCAGGCGCTTTGATTCCTAGCATAGCAAGAATTCTCGCAGCAGAATGACAGGCCATAGCACTCAAACGGACAGGATGTGCACAGTCTAAACTTTGACCCGTTGTCATTTTTACAGATCCTCTAGAGGAGTCACCTGAGATCGCTACACCAACTAACCCGGCGGCAGAGATGCTCAAACAGGGTGCAGGTGAGAATATTTACATGAGTTATTGATAGTATAAAATATTTGTATTCCTCTAAACCTCATAAAAAGCAATATTCCAGATTAATTTGTGGCACAGTGTTAATCACCACAATAATCACGCTTTCAGTAAGGAACTTGAACAAGAAATACATGGACCAGACAACAAACATTTAACAAAAATATGAGCTGCACATTTTAGTTTTTAATCAGTCGGTAATGCTAGACTGTGTTTTGATATTTTGAAACAATATTTTAAAAAAGAAACGAAAAGAAAACCCAGGATTAGTCAGTTATGTTTTGTGGTATTCAACATTATGCCTTACATTTTGGCAATTGAGGTAATATTTAAAATGTTGATAGCTATAATACATAGAATTTGCATGTAAATGCAATGAATCGAAACGCAGATAATTTTAAACAAAAGTTTGTATTTTCTTGCTTCTACTACAGTGTGAAAATACAGTAGATATACAGTATATTATAGGGGTAAAATAATATCTATATTGTAAAAAAGGTAATATGGTTAATGTGCAACCTTTGTTTAAAAACTGTATTTTTTAAAAGCATTAAAGTTCAATGTGTTTAGCATTACTTCATTCAGCAAAATCCCTAGAGATGTGGATTTATCAGCAGTATTTATTCATCTTAGATCTGTTTATGCTCTCTAGATACAGTACATTTAATGTGGGTTTTCTCCATTAGTCCAAGTGTTAGTGCAGTTACAGTAGCTTTTTGTTGCTTGTTTATGATCTGATATCAACTCTGAACCAACTGCCATGTTCTTCCCCACCCTGGTGTCACTCCTGTGGAAATGATTTAGGGCAGAAGAGTTCATCTGACTCCCATGGTAAACCCAGTGATGCTCTGCGCATTCTTATTCATTTATCTGTGTCATTGTGTTTAACCTGACTTTGACTGCCGTGTCTAGAGAGAGAACCGCACTCTTCTTTTACTACTGTCTGTGCATGTGATGGTCCAGACCTCCAGAAGCACCTTCACCTGTCTGTTAAAAACTGTTCGGCTGCTGTGTTTTAAGCTTTTTGTCAAGGCCTCGATTGCATTTCAAGAACACCTTTCTAAATGAATGTGGCATGTTCTTTCATGACTGATGTTAGATTACTATGCATGGATCTACTGATAGATGATGCCAGTGTTTCTCAATTTCTTTTCAGCTCCGCCTTTGAGAGAAAAAAAATTACGAATTATGAATACTAATCAATTGTTGCCACATTTTGGTAAAGTACATAAAACTGTTGAACTGTAGATGAAGTTATTTTAAAAAACCATTACCTGCATTTTCTTTCTATAGTCTTATGATATGTCTTTCTAGTAATAAAAAAGGGGGGAAAATGCATCCGAAATGCATAAAAAAATACATAAAATATTTTAAAGATATGTTTTATATATAATAAAATAAATAAATAAAACATTAATACTGATTTGCAGGAGCAGTATTGAAGAGTAGTTCACCCAAAAATAATAATCATTAAAAAAAATATACATTTAATAGTAAAAAAGAAAAAAAAGAAACTGCACACAAACTTCATTGTTTTTTTGCTTGAATTGCAGTGTTGTTGTTGTTAACTGAAAATATAAAAAATACTTTTCCTTTATTGAAACATCTTAAATGAGTTATAAATATTAGATAAAAAAATAAAAAAATACACATTACAATTTAAATGAAATGAAACAAGTACTTAAATGACTAAAACTGAAATAAAAATGAATGAAAGGTAAGTAGAAATAATAAAAAATGACAGATTTAGTAAAACTTAAAATTCAAATGAAAATGGAAAATATAAAAATAAAGGCTAATTCAACATTTTTATAAATTCTATAATAGTACATATTTAGTATACATAATACTAAAATAACACTGGTGAATCATCAGTGCAGCATGTTTAAAAATGTGGTTATGAATGAGAGTTCAGAATTTACGCCAATACCTCTTTGAGAACCACTGGATTATGCAAATGCAGAATATACTAATGATATGTGTGTGTTTGACAAAATCACAGTATGTGTGAAGATCAGAGTTTAAGGCGCATCTGCCTTACATAATGCAGTAGTAATTTAATTCTTTGCGTATACCACCATGGTTATTGATCTACAGTGGGTACGGAAAGTATTCAGACCCCCTTAAATTTTTCACTCTTTGTTATATTGCAGCCATTTGCTAAAATCATTTAAGTTAATTTTTTTCCTCATTAATGTACACACAACACCCCATATTGACAGAAAAAACACAGAATTGTTGACATTTTTGCAGATTTATTAAAAAAGAAAAACTGAAATTTCACATGGTCCTAAGTATTCATACCCATTGCTCAGTATTTAGTAGAAGCACCCTTTTGATCTAATACAGCCATGAGTCTTTTTGGGAAAGATGCAACAAGTTTTTCACACCTGGATTTGGGGATCCTCTGCCATTCCTCCCAATTTAACCACAGCAGTCAGTCACAACATTTCTGCATTGATCAGTGGATCTGGTGACAGGATCAGAATTATGATGAAGTCTATTAGGAGTTGTCAGCTTTTTTAGCAGTGTTTGGCAGGCAGTAAGGCTGTTAATGTTGCTCATTATTACAGTTCAAGGATTTTTCAAAGCTTTAACCTTAAGTTTTAAGTTTCAAGGTTCTTTATTTGTCACATACATATTATGTACATGTGATGTAATGTAGTGATTTTTACAATTATAGACAGACACACACACACACACACACACACACACACACACACGGAGATAATAAAAGAGAGAATGTAATAAAATTAATTCTCAAGAAATGTGTGAAATAGAAAATGAATATAGAATGTTGTAGGAAAAATAATAGAGCTGAGATTTTTGTAAAAAATGCAAAACTATGCACACTAAGAACCATTCAGAACATCTTAGCATTAGAGCAACATTTTTTTATAAATACATGAGCCAGTACTACCCAGAAATTGGGGGAAACAGCAAGTAACACATTAAACATGAAATTTTGAAGAAGAAAGACCGAAAGGAAATGTCAAAGTCTATTTTACACACACACACACACACACAGAGATAATAAAAGAGAGAATGTAATAAAATTAATTCTCAAGAAATGTGTGAAAAAATAGAAAATGAATATAGAATGTTGTAGGAAAAATAATAGAGCTGAGATTTTTGTAAAAAAATGCAAAACTATGCACACTAAGAACCATTCAGAACATCTTAGCATTAGAGCAACAATTTTTTATAAATACATGAGCCAGTACTACCCAGAAATTGGTGGAAACAGCAAGTAACACATTAAACATGAAATTTTGAAGAAGAAAGACCGAAAGGAAATGTCAAAGTCTATTTTATTTATTTTTTTAAGTATTTTAGATTTTTCTATATTCAAATCATTACTCAAAACTCACGTTTTAGCATTGCTTTTAATGTGTGATTATTAATGCAGTTATTGCTTCTATTGAATTGATTTTCAGGTATTTTATCTCTTGTAAAGCATCTGTGTGTTCCTTGAAAAGTTCTCTATAAATAAAATATATCATTATTTTTTAGTTAATGCTGTAAAGTTAAACAGCTATAATCTGTTTCAATGTCGTTCCAGGTGGAGCAAATCAGAGGGTGGCACTGCAAAGTAAGTTTTGATAACGGAGAACTCGATATTTTGCAGCTCAGCAGACATGTTATCTGAAAGCAGTTTAGATATGTATCAGCAAGCTCTGCTCCCCCTTTCTGGTGCATCATGGGATAGAGTACTTATGCTCAGGGCTATCATGATGAATGAGCTGTGATCTGATTGTGATCTCTGCTGTCTTAGCTAATGGCACAGAACATGATGCTAACGTGCTAACTTTCACACATGTGTGTCATGATTTACCCTCTGAGGCCGCACACTACATATTAAGGCTGTCAAAAAATGTTTTAGTGAATTTTGAATATTTCGAAAATCCACAACGTTTTTGCATTGGAATTTTAGGTGTGCGTTAAGGAGGCAGCCTTATCAGTGGCGCACGAGATGCGATGACGATATAAGTGTCATTGCATTTTAATGTTTTTGTTAACCTATCCAGTTGAAGCCACTATATGCGGCGCTGCTGCGTTGTTAATTACAAATATTGCGGAAAAAGAGAACATCAATGCGGAGATCTTGTTAACTTCAAAACTGAAACCAAGCCGTTCACACAGAACACATATTTCGTGCATTTTCTAGAGCAGAGATCCTCAAATCTGGCCCACGAGATCCACTTTCCTGCAGAGTTTAGCTCTAACCCTAATCAAACACACCTGAGTATGCTAATCAATGTCTTCTGGATCATTAGAAAATCACAGGTAGGTGAGTTTGATCAGGGTTGGAGCTAAACTCTGCAGTGCATTGGCCCTCCAGGGCAAGATTTGAGGAACCCTGTTCTAGAGGGACGTCTATTATCATTGCTCTCGCATCTCACACAAAGGAGCCACATGTTTAGAAAGCCATGTAAAATGAATGCAAGTTCAACTTTGAAAAAACATACATCAAGACTTTATGGCGGGCTTTTTCCGCATCCCACTGCAACTTGTGTTTTTAAATGAAAAATGCGCTCTGTGGGATTTCGGTCCTTTGTATTAAACTATGCATACATACATGATGCTGTTTTGTTTATAGTTGTTTAAGCTACTTAATTATAATTGGTTTATAAACATTATTTTAAACATTATGCACTTTGAATAAACGTGCGTTAGTAATATTTTGCTCAATGCGCCCTCTTGTGGCCTCAGGAGAGAAGCCAAAAGCTTTTCTTCACCCTAACTGAAATTATGCATTTTAAATTTGAATATAATACGAATTTTGATCATATTTAAGTAAAAAATTCGAATTTAGTTTTTCAGCTATTTTGACAGCCGTACTACATATATGAAGGATAAATGCTTCTCAGATGCTTCATCATTCTCATAAGTTCTGTCATGATTTTCTCACCCAAGTTGTTCCAAACCTGTATGAGGTTCTGTCTTCTGTTGAACACAAAGGAAGAGATTTTGAAGAATGTTGGTAACCAAACAGTCACTGGTGGCCATTGACTTCCATAGTATTTTTTTTTCATACTATGGAAGTCAATGGCTACCGTCAGCTGTTTGGTTACCAACATTTATAAATGATGACAGAATTTATATTTTTGGGTGAGCTATTCCTTTAAAGAGACGACAAGGAGCCGGTTTCATTCTAAGAACCATAGAGATGATTTTTGGCCCAAAATAACCGTCTGATATGATCCTCTCACACCCAATCTGAGCAGATCTCTTTACTAAGCACTTGAGTTTTCAAGCACAATACACTTTACACTCTTGGTGCAATGAGGCATGTGACAGCCCTCACGGCTCGATCTGGGCTGCTTCTGAAAGACACATTAGACAGATTACATTTCAGATTTAGATTTACATCCTAATCATTTCCTTTCAATTTTGGGGTGGAATGTGACCTGGACATGTATTGTAAGATTCACCCAAGTACTGTTGTGAATCTTGCTAACAAGTTTCAAGCCTTCTCTAGCTCCTGATCTTGCAGACAGAATGCAAGAAAGCAATGTGTGTGAACTGTCCTTAATACAAACAGTGCATCAAGATTTTTTTTCTTCTTCTCAGGTTCTTTGGCTTTGTGGCCAGAAAGCAAGGTAGCACGACAGACAACGTCAGTCACCTGTTCGCCGAGATGGATCCCGATCAACCAGCCACGGCCATCGTCAACTTCGTCTCTAAAGTGATGATCAACTCTCAGAAGCGGTGAACTCTTCACGCAGCGCTGCTTTCTGGAGGACTTTCATTTTGCTCTGTTTGAATTCTTTTTAAGTTTCTGTTTTTCATTCTGTATGTTTGGGTGAGAGGCTGTGTGTATGTGTGAGGAAGGGTTATTCGGACGGCAGTGAGGAAGAGGGACAGAGGAAGTGCAGTGTGGGCGTAGAGGAGTGAAGTACAGAGGGGAGGTGATCTTCATCTCACTCGGATGGGACGTGATGAAATGATGTCGGTGATTTTGTTGCTGTTTTTTTAAGAAAAAAGGACAAGAAAAAGTAAAAAAAATAAAAATAAAAAAAAAAGTTGATGAAGAGGCTGGTGTACCAAAGATAAGAGAGCAGTCAGGACAAACCAATCATTAAGTAAGCGTCCTATTATATCTTGGTAAACCACAGCTGCTTCCTCAAAACTGTACATATGAACTGAAGCATCACCTCTTTTCCTTCTGAAAGCGGCTAATGTTTCTCACGCTACAAGTGCAAGACCTTTTCATACGTCTGCTAAGAGTCCACTCTGGATAAACTCAAAACCTTGTGGGGATTTTAAAGGTCTCTTGCACATAACAGCAGAACCTACAGTAGCAGAAGCTAAAGGTCAG